AAGGCTGGTTACGAGTCTTCGGCAATTCTAATTGAGTATAATTTCGTGGGAGAAATATACACGTCATACGGAAAGGCGATTGGCAAGTACCACCAGCGAGCACTTGACAAAAAGGCGGAAAAGGGAACAAAGTCCACGTACCAAGGCGTTTGATAACAAACCATTATTGTCAACTACAAATATGATATTGTTAGCATTCAGACAAGTAGAAAGATGCGTACAATTGAAAAAGTCTGTTTCTGAGTACATAAAGAAATGGTGGTCACTTTGAATCTACCATATTGGCAACATCGTTGACTTAATGACACTTTTTATTATTACTACTTCCTTCCATCTCTTATCATTATTGTTCACTTATTTGAAATTTTCTTAAAATAATAACATTATCTGAATATGTCAATGGCAGAATTGGAAAGGCAAGATACGCCTTCATCAACCTGAAACCAGTTTGAAAGTCTTCTGCACTTTGACTCAGCATAAACTGCAAGATTCGGATTCTGTTGAACACAAGTGTGAAGATAGTCAGTCAGTGAGTCATGCTATACGGGTTAGAAACTTGGCCAGTTTCAAGAAAATGATTTCCAGCAGGCCACTGCAGACTTTTACCAACAGTTGACACCTTCGCTGACTAGCTCCATACTGAAGATCCAAAGGGACACCAGCTGGTCGGCGAGAAAGAATAAGTCACAAGAATCCCTGCAGTGGAACGAACTGACAGGCGAGATCCGATTGCTCGATAAATATGTAGGGGAAAATGGAGATGAATTGAGCATACATTGAGGAAACCGTCGAATGGCATGGCGTGGAATGAAGGCCGTCACTCGATTGCGATCCTTCCACCTTCCGATCTATCTTTCTATCTCTCTCTCTCCCTATATATCTATCTATCTATCTTAACGTGACCTGCAAAACGCTCTAACCTGCTGTTTCGCATGGTTGACTCAATGTAGTTTATTCACTTTTCAGTCTTGTACCGCCAATGTAATCCCAATGATATCAACACCATCCAGTACCAATGGAATAAATCCTTCTCTTATCTAGAAAGCATCATTTCAACTACAGGTGGTGGGACGAATTAGGATGCCAAAACCAGAATCGGAGAAGGAAGACAAACTTTCATCACTTTGAAATTGGTTTGAAAATCTTTTGCACTAACTCAGCATGAAGAAGAAGATTCGAATTTTCAACACTCGAGTCAAGTTAGTCAATGGTTCTGTGTGGTTCGGAAACTCGGCCTGTTCCCGTAAGCATTCCCAACATACTGGTGCAGGTTTTCATTATTAGCTGCCACATTGGAACTCGAATTCGAGACCCTCCAGTTACAAGGCAAGATTGAATACCTTTCAGCTACTGCAACCCGACTGAATAGCCAGTTCATCAATTCTAAATTACAGCAATTCATGAATTTAGCGAAACTGCCAACAGCCAATATCATCGGCGGGAACTCTACCCTCACTACCGACTGGATGTACTCCACTGGTCACGACTTCTATCTAGAACTCCAGTCAGCTTCGTCCGGTAGCCATTCATTCAATAGCCAGCATCAACAAAATTACTAACCTCGCCTAGATTACTAGGTCACGAGTATTCTAGCCCGTTTCAAGCCCGGATAAAGAGGGAGGGTTGGGGCGTGGTGCTAGCAACTCCACCCCCAAAACTTAACCAAATTGCTACTAAAACTTCAACGCACAAACAGATTAAAAATTCTAAAAATAAAAACAATGACCTTATTTTTCGCTGGAATCGAGGAAGTGAAATAACGCAGGCTGGTGAAAGCCTTCGGGAAGCCAGTCAGCAGATATGCCTTCTTTCGATGAAAGCAAAAATAAGGATGGGGACGTGGAATATTCGTACAATGTACGAAACTGGAAAGGCTTCTCAGGTAGCCGCAGAAATGAGGAGATATAAAATAGAAGTGTTGGGAATCTGCGAGAGCAGATGGAACGGATGTGGAAGGAGCCAACTACCAACTGGAGAGACAATAATCTACTCCGGTCACCCAGAGGACGATCATGAGCACACCGAGGGAGTAGCCATCATGATGTCATCAACAGCGGCTTAAGCTCTCATGCAGTGGGAACCAATCTCCTCCAGGATAATGACAGCCAGGTTCAACTCAAAAGGAAAGAAGGTTACAATCATTCAATGCCATGTGCCTACAAACGTCTCAGAACAAGAGAAGAAGGAGGATTTCTACAGTCAACTACAAACAGTAATGCACAACGTCCCAAAGAGCGATATCAAAATCCTGATGGGTGACATGAATGCGAAACTGGGAGGAGACAATACAGGAAGAGAACTCACCATGGGTCGTGAGGCCCTCGGTGAAATGAACGAAAATGGTGAACTCTTCTCAGACTTCTGCGCCTTCAATGATTTGGTGATTGGTGGCAGTGTGTTCAAACACAGGGATATACACAAGGCAACATGGATTTCACCAGATGGACACACCAAAAACCAGATAGACTTCATTTCAATCTCAAGGAAGTGGAGACGGAGCCTACTGGACACAAGGTCGAGGCGAGGAGCAGATGTGGGTTCAGACCACTATCTAGTGAAGCTAAAAGCCTCGATGATAGCTTAGGATAGGCCACAATGCAAGTTCAACACGCAAAAACTGAAGGACACAATCACACAGGACATTTTCACTGCAACTGTCAGAGCGAAGCAGGAAAAACTACGTGGCACCACTGAGGAATCATCCGTGGAAGACCATTGGAACTCTCTGAAGGTAATTTTCAACGAAACGTGTTCAACGGTTTTAGGAAGAAAGAAGAAACAAGACAAGGAATGGCTCTCAACGGACACTTGGAAGCTAATAGAGGAGAGGAGAATGGTGAAAGAGAAAATGATTCAATGCAAAGATGGACAAGAGAAAGAGACGCTGAGTTCAACTTACACAGCACTGGACAAAGAAGTGAAGAAGAGTGCCAGGAAGGACAAAAGACAATTCTACGACAACCTGGCTACTGAAGCTGAGAAGGCAGCAAGCAAAAGGGACCTGAGGACATTATATCAGATAACCAAGTCTCTATCCGGGAAGAGATCAATACAAGGGAAACCTATAAAAGACAGCCAAGGGAACCTAATTACCAAGGAAGAAAGACAGATTAAACAATGGGCGGACCACTTCAAAGGACTCTTGAACCGACCACCACCTGCAACCCGTCCAAAAATACCAACAACAGCACGTACACAACTGCAAGTTGACACCAATCCTCCAACGAAAACTGAAGTCATGAATGCAATCAAGCTTCTTAAAGCTGGAAAAGCAGCTGGACCAGATGGAATACCCCCTGAAGCACTGAAAGCGGACCCAGAAACGACAGCAGATATGCTGACTCCATTATTGCAAAAGATCTGGAAAGAGGGAAAGGTGCCTACTGACTGGAGGAAAGGTTACCTCGTGAAACTACCAAAGAAGGGCGACCTAGGACTCTGCAAGAACTGGCGAGGAATCATGCTCCTGTCGATGCCAAGTAAAATTCTGAGTCGCATCATCCTGGAGAGAATAAAGGACGCACTGGATACAGAACTCCGACCAGAACAAGCTGGATTCAGGAAAGGCAAATCATGTTCTGACCAAATTGCAACTCTACGCATTATCATCGAACAAAGCATGGAATGGCAATCAAACCTCTACCTAAACTTTATAGACTTTGAGAAGGCCTTCGACAGCGTTGACCGCGAAGTAATTTGGAAACTACTCGAGTACTACGGCGTACCCCAAATATTCATCAACCTTATTCAACAGCTGTACGACAACGGCACATGTCAAGTGATCCACAACGGAAAACTCAGCGAGGCGTTTGGAGTAAACACAGGAGTCAGACAAGGGTGCTTATTATCACCAATGATATTCCTAATTGTGGTGGACTGGATTATGCGTCAGACAGTGGGAAACGAGAAGACAGAGATATCCTGAACCGACGTGAAGTATCTATAAGACCTGGATTTCGCAGATGATTTATGTTTGATGGCACACAAAATCGAAGACTTACAAGCGAAAACCGACAAACTGGTCGAAGAAGCAGCAAAGACAGGACTCCAGATGAATATAGACAAGACGGAGATTATGAAAATAACCAACCAACAACAACAACAACAGCAGCAGCAACATCCAGCGCCAATCACCATCAACGGGAGGGATTTGAAAGAGGTTACTTCATTCACTTATCTAGGGAGCATTGTCTCAACTACAGGAGGAACGGACGAGGATGTGAAATCGAGAATCGGGAAGGTGAGAAACACATTCATCAACCTGAAACCAATCTGGAAATCTTCGTCACTCAACGCATCAACAACAAAATTCGGATTTTCAATACAAACGTCAAGTCAGTCAGTTCTTCTATACGGATCAGAAACTTGGCGGGTCACCAAGAATATTTCCAACAGGTTGCAGACCTTTATCAACAGCTGTCTTCGTTCTATACTGAAGATCAGATGGCCGGAAAGAATCACCAACAAGAAGCTATGGGGACAAACGAAACAAGAACCAATCGCTCAACAAATATGCAGGAGAAAGTGGAGATGGATTGGACACTCGCTGAGGAGGCCGCTGGGTGACATCGCGCGTCAGGCCAGTCTCGAGTGTAACCCGAAAGAGAAGCGGCGAGTGTACGTCCAAGGGTGACATGGAGGAGATCGTGTGAAGAGGAGTTGAAACAGCATGGACTAACATGGATGCAAGCGAAAAGTACAGCAGAAGACAGAAGCAAGTGGAGACGTGCAGTTGAAGCCCTATGTTCCACTAGGAACCCAAGGCAACAATAATGATAACAAAATTACAGGTTTCTAGAGTGAGTGTTGTCAATAAACGTTAGCACTTTAAATCCCTATCTCATGTTTCCCCTTCTTTTTTCCTTTGTTTCACTGACAAACGTTCATTTCAGACATTTTAGGTCTTCGTGACCTTTCTTATTACTTCTTTTACTTTGTGGGATTTTATTATTTTTGTTTCAAAAAAAATAATAATAAGCGGATGACTAAATTACTCCTTTTTATTCAGCTGGTGAACTATACTCTACCACAATGCTGAAATTGAAACTTCTTTTATGAAACTGATTGAAAGGAGCATTCATATAACATAAATATTGAAAATTTACCAAGTCTTCATCAGGTGACTCTGTTGGTGTCATTTCAGCGTCTATAAAGCAAATAAACAATAGCAGTCATCATTAGAATAATTACTGAGGTGAATAATGACGCGTGTAACTTGTTTCAAAATGTCATTCAACAACTTAAATCATCCCAGGCTTATGTTACTGTTTAACTCCAATCAGCTTATTCCTGTCATTGTGATAAACGGCACGTTCACGTTTTCAATATAATTTATTCTTTTCTGCTGTTCTGGTTGTAGTCAATTAAGAAGGATCCTGGAAATAATTGAAGGTGAGCTAATATTTTTCATCGGGTACATTTGTTGTTCTCGCTTTGTTCGACTTCAGTTATGATGTAGTGATGAGTTCATATAGCATCGTCTCTGCAGACATTTCTCACTCATACATATTGTTTTCGCAAATACAATCATGGCAAACACAAGCACTTCTCATAAAGAGGATTGATCACCAGTTGACATCCGATAGATAAACATTTGGGAAATCAGCAGGCCCTACTGGACAGCTGTTCCCTCATCATAGTTTCTCACTCTTCAGCATTACACACCCACCGGGATTTGAACCCGACACCTTTCAGTTACCCGGGGAGCTCGTTGACCATTCAGCCACTTCTTATTAAATTTCATCACCTTTTATCAATCTGAAACATCTACTCGATTCACAGGGACTTGTGTTGACAGTTAAGAATCTGTTGCTTGCCACTTATGTCATGAAATCACTTGGTGAAATTATAACATTTCAGAGTTAAAACCAATCCCATGTGATCAGTTAAAAGTCCGTCTAAATGAAGAATATCCCTTTCAATCAATTCTCTTCAGAATCTCCAATTATCATCAATTTGTGTCAAATAAAATCGGATTCTTTAGGGAGTTCGGTTGCTTTGATCAAAGAGAGTTGATATTTGTTGATATCTGTTATAATATGTAACACAGAGAAGAATCCTGTCAGTTTCATCAGCTAAGAATGGTGTACCATGCAGAACAACTTGGAAATTGTGAAGATGCGCATACACTACACTCACCAAAATCACTAGATGATCTGAATTTTGAGAAAGAATTACTTCTCATACCGCATAAACAAAGGTGATGAAGATATCCGACTGCGCCAGTGATTCTGCTATCATTGCACTCAAGTACGGAAGCTGAAATTAAGTCGAATGTTAAATACTCCGGAGTGACTATTTCCTCTGATCTTTCCCTATCTTCACAGATCATGTTAGTTTCTTGAAAGATATTTCGTAAAATTTTATACGTAGAGTAGTTGACACAATCTGGTACCACTCAGTGTTTTCTCTCTCATTTCCTTAATTCTTGTATTCTACTTGTCCTTCTTCATTCCTACAACGTAATCATGCGCGAGCTACTTTGTCACACTTCGAAGAGCGCTGAAAGCTGTCAGTAGGACGGTTGGAGTGTCACTATACTATCCTGTTAATACTCTTGTGGATAGACACACGGACTCATGCAAGAAATCAGTAAATATTAACCTGTCAGACACTGAGCTCTCTGTCTCCGTCCTTGCACAACTCTACATATTCTCATCTCATCAGATAGGACTAGGAGCAAATATAGAAGACTGCATGCTTGGATGACTAATTGTGAAATCTCTGCTATTCCCTATTTCGCATACATAACATTGTGATGCGAAAAGTGTGTAAGGCGTAACACTACAAACTTACTGAGAAACACTAAGTAAACAGCCCCTTTCTCGTCTTCCATTCATTATCATGCTGTTGTTAATATTCTCACTTGATCCAACGTTATATTCATGTTCATATTGAACAATAGTTTCAATGTGAATGGCCTATTTTATTTATTATTACAGTTATAATGGGAAAATTAGATCCAGTGATGTGCTACATGCCGAAAGTTCTATTTTTTTGCCAAAAGTACTGTTTGGAATAAAACTATTACGACGATTATTATTAACACACATCAGACTCTCGCATGGGAAGCAACGAGTTGGACATCCAACGATATATGACATAGACAAATGAGAACATGTGTACAGGAAACAAAAGTGTGTGAGCGGTTGACGAGTCGACTTTACAACGATGTCAGAAACACTGAGAACAATGTTGATCTGTACATTTATGCTCCACATAGAAGTCAAAGAGGAAATACTGATAATAATTTTAATGAATACGTGTAATTACAGAATCACTTACATGCAATAGAGATACAAATAACACTCAGTAGAATAATAACACGCAATGTTACACTGTATCGTGGAAACATGACAGCTAGAATTGTTGGTTATTGGTACATGCAGTGAAAAATATATTCACTAGAGATGATACTCTGTTGATAAAACTGATTTGTCAATGAATAGCGTCCATGCATCAGTATTTAATGCCTAAATTTTTCATTGTTTTCAATTCTGTGTGAATGTGCCACCAATGATAAACATTGGTTTACAACAATTGAAATTGAACACATTTTGTATGGTGTGAATGAAGTGGAATCGAAATTTTACAGAAAAGTTACAATGACTGATTAAAGCTGGTTCACTATTATTATTATTATATTATTATTATTACCTATTGAGGTAAGGACAGTGTTAAAATGTACAGGAATATGTCCAAAATGAAAACTTCTTCAAACATTTATACGCCCATTATCAATTTCAGGAAACAAAGAAGGGACAAAATACGAAAAAAAAACACGCACAGAAAAGGTGTTTTGATCGGATTTGACTCTGTGAGCTGAGTCTAACTGCGTGGAACGCTGATTAGCTCAAACTGAAACCAGTGAAACGACCATCCTGTTATGTTCATAACTCTTCTTTCTGACTGGCTGGCAAGTACAAATGGTTGATGTGGGTGGCATTCAGCTGCTCATCTCAATTATTCAGTATTCTGTAGTTTTATGCGGTAATTTGATTTACATTTGCAGGCAAGATTCCAAATGAACTCAGTTGTAAGGCAGATGACACTAACTTGATGTGTTTTATCCGATTGTTTTTGAAGACGAGTTAGGCAACGAAATACGTGTTTTCGTGGGTAATTTCTTATCAGGCTTTACAGTTACACAATAATATTTTAGTACCAAGTGACTATAAAGTTATTTTATCCTCCATAAAAACCAAATCGATACCGACGCCAATCTCAAAATTCTCAGTTTGAATCACCTTTAAATTGAGTTCATAAACGAACCAGATAAAGACAATGCTTCACCAATTTTTGATATCCTGATGACGAGAAACCAAGATGGCAGTATTAGTCAGTGGTCCCCGTCAGATGGTTCTAAGCTTAACGCCTCAAATGTGGTTAGTCTCACGTTTAGGCGCCAGCGACATTTACATGAACTGGTGAGTTCGCACGGTTAAAACCAAATCGAGGGTCAAATACTTTGAACTATCCAATTCTTCTGGTCTTCCCTGGTCTACACCCATCAAATCAGTTTCCAGGAAGATATTTCATTTCACTTTATATGCTAGGAAGCTATGATAATCTGGTATCATTCCATCTCTATGGTTTCCATGTGTTGCGTTTTTATTCTGCCCATAATTCTTGACCGTTCCATTTAATCTTCCCCGGGCTAATTAAGAACGACTTTGTTATACTTCGTAGGGCACAAAACGCCGTCAGTAGGAGGAGTGGGGTGTTGCTGAATAAACTCGTTAATACTACTGTAGAAAGACACAAAAATCATATTCTGGTATGTTCAGCTTCTTTCATTCATCCCATATTTAGTGAATCTAAGTTCAGTTAGTTGTCATGAAGTAATTGTAATGCCTAATAAGAATGTATCTAGACAAAACCGAGTATTTGATTGCTCAAATCGCATTCTACATTTATCACAATTGGGAATATTTAAAATATCTCATTGATGTAACGTATTCCAAATTTATTCACACATATTCACTCAGTGGGAGATGAAGTTCATGTGACTGTGAATCTGGAAAAAGGAACAAGATGAAAAAGGTGTGCCTGATTGCGAGACAAATTGAAAACAGTTTGGTGGATTAGACACTTGCATCTATTGGAAACAGTCACATTCTCGTATGTTCAGGTGCTTTGATTCAATCCGTATTTAGTAAATCTGAGTTCAGTTAGTCGTCAATGTAATCAAAAGAAGAGGCTAAGGACAAATACTCGCGCTGGCGATGACATTCGTTAGTACAAGTCGCGTGATATCATGAATCGGCAGAAGTTGGAATTCATGAACTGACCACTGAATCGGGTCCCAGTGTTTGATTGGTCAACAAGCGCAGTTTGCAACCAGAAAGCCTTGGGTTCGAACACATGGCGATGAGTGCACATTGATGAAGTCTCCTCAACTGGGCTGACGAAACAGCAGTCCAACACTTCCAGTTCTCTCATTCGTTCTCTAACCGATTTCAACTCATGAGGAAATCCTGTAGCTAATCAAATTCCCGCAAACCAACAATTAAATATTGAGCGTTCATTATTATTATTATTATTGTTGTTGTTCTATTTGGTTCGGAGAGGAACACTGAGTTCGACTGCACTCCACTACTCTGTCCTATTCTTAATGGTCCTAATGAGCCGCCTTTACGATTGCCCATAATCTCTCTCATCGCATAGTAGGTGTAAATAATGAAATCAAGCAAATAAGAAAAAACATCACTGACAGATAACTACTCACACAAATCTAATGAAAATGTTTCAAGCCCCAGAATTAGTCATGCAAGTAATAAATATTTAGGTAGTAGGAAAAATTGATAGCAATATGTTTGCAGACAAGAAGATTTTCTTCTCGACGAAGTCATCAAGCAGACTCGAGGAACAAATTAGCAAGATAACAAGGGGGATTCGAATGTGATAATAACAAAATAAATTGAAAGTTCGCATAATAAAAGCATAAGAGTGCGAATAGGCAATAAAACAGGAAGTTTGAATGAGAAACTTGGTTGAATAATCCCTACTGACTGTTTATGATGGCCATAGCGAGAACAAAGGCTTGGTGCATAACGTTTGCTTGAACATTGAGATCTCTTGTGACTCGAGTACGCTTATATGCCAGTATCTTACGCGGTTTAAGAGGGTTGATCGGATCAGTGCATTGAAGTAGCGATAATCCAATAACGTTTATTAACCAAAATACACATATGACTCTTTAATTATTACTTTATTTTAATCTCTACTTGTATTGTTCCCACAGTTTCTCATCCATTCACTGTAAATACAGGCTGGTTGATGACTTCGTCAAAAAGGAAATTTTCTTCGCTGCAACAATGTTGTTTTTAATTTCTCCGATGATCTAATCTGTGTATTCCGCGATATTATTTAATTCAAAGTCTTGATAATTCTAGGAATATGGGTTAGGATCATTGAAAGTAGACTGTATTATTCGGTAGACGACAATCGTTGAAAGAGAAATGCAGGCACTGAAAATGGGAATTTCCAATTTCATTGGAAATGTCGTTTTCAATCTGTTGCTTTTGCCTCTCTTACGTTTCTTTTCTTCTAGGATAATAAATACTTCTCTTCACCACTTGATTTGTCGCGTCGCTACTGGAGATTCTCGCAGCGAATATAACACATAACATGACACTCGTAAATAACCTTGTGTAGCAAACTCCACACTCTTTCTTTTCATCATAGCATCTATGACGGGGCCACTTCGACGTTCTTGATGCTACTCAATCCTGTTGTTTCTCTGTGGTGACGTCATTTTACCAGGATATCCGTCACTGAAGTTCACTCGAGTCAGCACACTTCTTTCTATTCATCTCCTATCATGATGACATAAACAAGACCACATATCTGTGAACTTCACAAGTCGCAAGGAGTTTACATCAAACGGGCCCTCTACCAACAGAACACTGTCATTCTCCACATTTCATCTTATCTCTGATTCAAAAAATATACATTTCTTCTTTTGCATTCACTTGGATTTCACAACGTCAATCTTCTCCTGATGCTTCACACTTCCTAGCGCCTCTTACTGTTCCATTTGCCATCTCTGCATACCCAAACAGTGCTGTCACCTCCAACTCCTATTGTTCACTGGTAGTCGTAGTTTCCAACCACATATCATCTGACTTCTTTGTGGTTTCCTGAGGGGAAGTACAATGTATTACTACTACAATCAATGTGAGCCCTGTCTCCCATTACTTTCCCTTTCATGCTATCCACTCCTTCAGTGTGCGATTATTTCTCCGTGTCACAGATAGAATTCACATGTAACTGAATCCTGGCCGACTGACTGAACGGCCACCGTGTTCGCCTCGTAGCCTTACAGTAGTCAGTTCGAACGCTCGAAGGGTCATCGGTGTCTACTGATGGAAAGTCTCAAACAAGGAAAAAAAGATGTCTAGGACTACATGATTTTGAAAGACTCTCCAACTGTTCATGAAATCTATTTTGTAATAAGTCGAAATCGCTAGACAGCTCAAAATCTGAGTATCTGTCTTATAATCTGAGGTTTTGTTCGCTGGTGAATTTTTCTAAGAATGGTGATTTTCGGTGAAATTCAATTCTCGTTATGAATGTAAGAGTCTAAATCAAAGTGAGCGATCAACTCCCGGTAATTGATTTTTGGAATCATTCCAATCTGGACACACATATAAACAGTAATCGATTCAATGAATGCAAAACAAGGAGATTGAAAATACGAAAAACAAAAGGCGTAGAAGGTGAATTCGTTTTTTCAATATTGGTCTCTTTTGAGTGATGCTTCCAACTCATGTCATTCACACTGAATCATTTTGCAGTGAATTATAAGAAAATCAAAGAAAAAGCAAACAACAAACAAAGTGAAACACACCCAAAATCGAAGTAGTAAATACTGCGATAATTAATCTCGACATTTATACACAGAGATGTAAGCACAGCTAAACTGTATAAAACTGTATGCAACTGAATGACTGAGATGAATGGTTGTTGTATACTGCTCAAATCAACTACAGTGGTACGTGCTAGATAGCAAGATCGAAGGGAGCCAAACACCTGACAGTTGTTGTGCTCATTTGGAACCACGTATATCAAATTGTCAACTGTCCGGTGTTTAGATCGCTTCGATCTGACTAGTTGAGAAGTTCTACGGTTTGATGTGAATCGTGTACAACTACTCATGTCATCCAATCAGTAGTATGTATTTTTCTAAAATTATTCTTGCTTTCCTGATTACCTGTTATGGTAGGTAGTACATTGCAAATTATGATGTGAAGAATTCCGGTTTCTGAAGAAAACTGTGTTGAATTTCACCTCCACGAATTTCTCTGTTAGTACAGCCTTTTACTCAACAGTTAAGCTCTCCCCCAGTTGAAT